CATCTTGTTATTTCATTTTGAAACGTTCCTTTTCATCGCGATAGCCGCTTCAGCAACTTCTGGCCATATCATCAATTTTTCTGTACTTAGCCATTATTTAGCCTTCTGACAATATATGTGCAGGTTTGGTAAGCTATTAATAATATAAAAATTCAATTGTCGGAACTGCACCTTGTTATTTTAACTTAAAACTAGATTCGAAACGTTGCTTTCCGTCGCGATAACCGCTTCAGCAACTTCTGACTATATTTATGTACTTAGCCATTATTAAGACTTCTGACAATTTATATACAGGTTCGATAAGCAACAAATAATATAAAAATGCATTTGTCCGAACTACACCTTGTGGTTTAAATTTAAACAATTTCTTTACAACTTTGTCGACTTCTGACAGTCTTTAAGCCCCGACCTAGACTTCTGACAATAATTTTCCTAGATTCCTACAGTTAAAAACTATAACTCTACCAAATTTCAGAACTGCACCTTATCATTTTTTTCTTATTTTAAATTTACGATTTTGACCGCCCACCCACGCCTTCCGCCCCGGGAGAGAGTTCTGACGGGCCTCGCTCTGTATTTATCAGCTACCAAAGAGAGGTTATATATATAATTCGTTACTACACCTTATCAGTTCACTTTTTCGTAGCCAGCTCTCCGGCTACATGAGGTTGTCGCCATGTGGGATGTTGACTCAGCTATCATTGTGCCGATAGTTGTGCCAGTCAATGGCCTGATAGCTAAGAGCTTCGACTGTCATCTGCGGAGGCTCGAGTTGGGTGACTGGGTCAAGGGCCTGATACAGAAGGCAGTGCTCCTTCACACGGCTCGCATAGTGAGGAGGTTCCTCTCTTTCGGGCCCTAACCACCGGTAGTTATGACCCTGTTCCCGCTGCCGGTTGACTTCTATTTTTTATATTTTTCAATGTTTTTATTTTTATATCAATATTTAGAAATGTAATTAATATGGTATAAAATAAATAAAGAGAATAATAATAATAATATTTTTTTTATTGGCTTGAACAATAATGTGATCTTAAACTAATGACCTGCATCTCCTTTTAAGCTTAAATAGCCTGTGTCAGGAGATACAGCTCTTCCTTAAAATAGATAAGTATAACAATCCAATAAAATCTAAACAAACCATGCCCAAGATCTAATTAGTTTAGACGTTTGGTGTTTATGTCTACGTAACTGTGAATATGGGAGTGAGTGTTTGTATTTTGTATTTTGTATGCATGTGTGTGTGTGTATGTTGGTGTATTGTGTGTGCGTGTATATGTGTCTTAGTGTGTGCAAGAATACTAGGTTCTGCTTAATAGTATCTCGATTTCATCATATGTTTTAGCTGTTAACCTTTTTATCAGTAGATCTTTGCATTGATATCATATACATAAATATATTTATTAATGGTGTTATATATATGTATAAATCGACTATCGAACTGACTGCTAGCAAATAAAGTGTTGGTTCTAGGAGCACGTATAATAATGTCTTTCCTTCTCCTTTTTAAAATTACCAGTAGGTACATTGCATTCTATAAGTATCATCTAATGTATGGCAAAAATATTTTAAAAGTTATCTTGATTATTAAAGAGCAAAGTTTAATTTATGCCCCAACATTCCGATCGTTCAAATAATCTTAGACTTGTTGATAATAATATCCTTCGCTCATTATTGTATTTTTAACGCGAGTTTTAAATTTGCCTATGCAAAGGAAAATCGGTAATATGATGAAGAAATTTATTAAAATAAAACCCGACTGCTTAATTACTTCAAATAAAAACTGAAAAAAAAACAAGTCCAGTAGTCTATAATTCAGTTAAGTAAGGAACAAATCTACTTTAACAGTCGGGACCCATTAGATATTCAAGGATTGATCAATTTTTTTCAATAATGGGTCACGATCGTTAAAGTAGCTTTGTTCCTTACTTAAAAGAATTATAGACTACTGGACTTGTTTTTTTCTTATCATTTTTTATTTGAAGTAATTAAGCAGTCGGGTTTTTTGATTTTTTAAATTTACTTTTTTTATTTTACACTTTTTAGTTGGGATTATAAGACGGTATATACTGCAGTCTTGTCACTTCAATAAGGGAGTTAATATCAAGCGGATTATTAAATACCTTGCGGTATTTTCCGTATTTGTTCAAAAAGTCATCTTTTGCTTATTTTCTTTTTAGTAGTAAATAAAAAAATCATTTACTTTTATTCGTCGACTATCTAAAATTGGCAGTGGCTATATGCAACTCTAAGATTGTGATATATATAAATGCAGTGCATATCCTTGTCTCATAATTTGTTTTACTTACATAATTCACAGAACCAAATATGTAGGTGCCAGAGGTTAAATATTATTATCCTTACTTTCTATACTAATAGATTTTATTATAAAGAGGCAAGAGTTGTATGCGTGTAACAAATAATCTCTCAAACCTGATCCGATTTCGAAAATTCATTCACCATAAGGTAGCTAGCTACATTATTGAATATATTTTTAAGCATTAATCTTAATAAGTTGATTAATCTGCTCGATTTATAAAACTAAAGAAACTTTTACTTGAAAAATTCTAACAAGTTTTCAGAGACGATTTTTTTTAGTATTTTTTTCTTAATAACTACATTATTTACAGTTTTTTAAGCAATAAAGTTATTATTATTATTATTATATTTGAGTGACATAGGCTATATTCTATCCCGTTAAAATAAATTTCGCCCATGCAATGTCGGAGTGGATTACTAGTATAATATAATATTATACATGCGAAAGTGATTTTGTTTGTTACGATTCCGTGCCCTAATAGCTAAATCGATTATGATGAATTTCCCTATTGAAATAGATGGGGCCTTGGTTCTAAGCTACATTATCGAAATATCTATAGGGTTAGGGTGATGGGAGGGGTGATTTACCTATAAAACTTTACATTATGTGCTTCCAATTTTGCAGAATTATCTGCAGAATAATATGAAGTAATATCGTTAAAATAAACTTTGAAAACAGTTTCATTCTCAGTTTTTCATTAAATTTAAAAAAAATATAAATACCTATTCTGATTTTATTGTTAGTACTTCGTATAGGATTAGATACTGTGAGTAGCCCATTTTTTTTTCTTTTCCTCCTAGGTTTTATCTACGTTTATAAACACCAAAATTCATCACTTTTGACACTTCACATCACCCACCATTCCCGCAGATTCCCGCAGTATACTCATACTCCTGCATAGCACAACGCACTATCACTTTGTCATCGTAACATCGTTGTAACATTTTAAATATTTGTCGAAATTACACAGAGGAAAAGGCAAAGTTTATCGTCTTTAAATATCAAAAGTGATAAAAGTATTTGTTTTGATAAAAAATAATTTGTTTATACAAAATATGCATTTTGGAAATTTATTTAAATATTTTATTTTTGATTCACTATTTTAGCTATAATGGCTTACACATTAAAAATAGATATATGCAGTCCTGGACTTTTTGTAGAACTATATAAGAGATACAAATCTATCATACATTATATTCATATAACTTTTATTGTTTTTGCAGTGCAGGCCAAAATGGCTCGCAGATGGGAGATTTTTTCCGTCTCACCTGACACTTATTGTTATATTTTGGCCAATTCACCAAATAACAACATAAATTATAATCTATATGCTATTTTTATGTATGAGCTTTATTATTGGTTAGTTTGATCAAAATCCATTTAGTATTTTTTGGAGTGAAAGAGTTACAAAGATCCATACAAACGTAAGATTGAAATTAAAAGCGCAATTGGTTAATATACAACTTTTATTCGTTGTAGATCCTAAACAAACATATAAAATAAAAAATGGTGTAGGGAGCCTTAACATGATTTCGATCGATTCTCTAGACAATGATACCCCACTCGACATATTTCGGCAACTTATTTTTTTTTCTTTCTCACAATATGGCGCCCAGTTGTCTCCATTTTGATTATTATGATATCTTTAGTATCACTCCCATGATTAAGACGAATCGATTGATGTATAAATCGGCGGCGCGGTCTTTTTGCCCTCTGTGTGCGTTTGTAGTATAGGATTCACTTTGTGCTATCGTTCGCGGGGAAATTGACCGGCCCGCTCCGCCCCGCCGCCGCGCCGTCTGCAAAGCGCCTCATTGTCAAATGTGTACTGATTTTTAGTTCTCGTTACGTACTATGTGCCGCTGCTGTTCAAGTTTCCATACAAAATTTGACATTGACATTTCGGTTTGCAAACTATTCGAATTCGATAATGGTTCGTGCTAGGGGTTACTTAGTTAAGAAACAAAACTATCCTGTGTTCGGGTTTGTGCTGAATAAACGATTTTGATATACTTAATTGGTCAGTGGCGGACTAACAGGGGGGCGGAAGGGGCGGCCCGCCCCGGGCCTCCGATCTTGGGGGGCCCCCAAATGCCTCCGAGTTCCCCTGATGAAATCCTAAACATGACTTTAGAAATGTGCTTACCTACATAATTTCATCAAGATCAAAACAATACAGCCATCTAGACTTTTTACGCGGTACTATTATTCTTTTACCTTTGCTGAATGTGTCCAATACGCTGGAGGAATTCCCGTCTTTGTAGCGGATACTTACTCAGGAATCCCTGAATGAATGAATGAAGTGCAAATAATTCACTCTTTTACGCCTACTTAAAAGAGGCTGCTGGTGGGTCAAAGAGAGTACCATCTTATTTGCCAAAAGGAATACATACCAAATGAATTTATTCAATGTTTAAGTGATCATGTAAGGCAAATTATTATTGCAGATATTACGGAATCATTTTTGACAGCACTCCTGATGAAAGTAAAATTAATCAAATGAGTCAAATCATTAAATTCCTTCATATAGAGAATGACATTGTGGAAGTAAGAGAATCTTTCTTGGGTTTATTTTTAATGTCTGGAAAAACTACTGAGGATATGTCAAAAGACATTCAGCAACAGCTGGAAAAAGACGGACTGAATATTGCGTTGTGCAGGTTATCACAATGCCGCGGCAATGTCAGGTGTCCATGGAGGGGTGCAACGAAAAATCCGAAAAGTAAACCCAAATGCACTGTTCAGTCCTTGTTCTAATCATTCCTTGAATCTTTGTGGAGTTCATGCATTTGTATGCGTTCCTTCCAGCGTCACGTGTTTTGGAACAGTAGAGAAATTATATTCGTTATTTTCGTCATCTACAGAGAGATGGCAATTGCTAAAAGTGAAAACTGGAAAAAATTTAAAACGTTTATCGGATACTCGCTGGAGCTCTCATTACGAGTCAGTAAAAGTTGTAAAAGAAAACATAGAGACAATTGTAAGTAGTTTGGAACATTTTCAAGATCCAACAAAAGCAAATCTAGATACAAGATCAGGAGCAAGCCTGCTCCTGTCGGCTGTTTGTGATTTTACTTTTCTAACCAATTATACAATTCTGGCTTTCTGTACTGGAAGATATAACTTAAGTTCAACAATATTTGCAGTCTCCAAAAATGACTCTTGATATAGGAATCACCAAATTAAACGCCTTGTATGAGTATTGAGTGACCGAACGAACCACCATTGTAGACAATGTTGTAACTTTTGTCATAAAAAAATGCAATGACATGGACATCAACATCGAGAAACGAGGAAGAAGGAAGGTAAAAAGAACGATGCCGAGTTTCGAGCTCATTATGCTGGATTATCAATTCCAGAAGAAATACGTCGGTCAATGTATGAATGCATAGATCGATTTATAGAAGATGTCGACACAATACGAGGCCATAAAACAAATCAATAATATTTTCCAAATTATTGAAATAAAGCTTATGCTAGAAGCTTCAGATGATGCTCTGGCTGTAGCAGTTGACAATCTGATACAAAGTAATGATGAATTTGACAAGGAGCAAGTTTCCCAAAAAATAAAAAAGTACCGCAGGCATGTAAAAGCCACCGATACGAGTATGGACGTTGCTGCCCATTGGAGAGCCCAAGAAATCCTTCAATTAATAATAAAATGGGGCTTCAGTGAATAGTTACTCTTTAAATTGCTTATACTTCAATATTTCTTCACTATTTGCATCTTGGTTGCACCATGCTAGAGGAGTTTTTCCAAACTTAAACTAATTAAAAATTATCTTCGATCTACAATGGATCATGAGCGACTGGTATTAATCTAGCCGTGCTCGCAATAGAAAAAAATTCAAAGAAATCGATATTACAGAAGTTAATAAGGAGTTCAGTAAATTGAAGGCACGAAAACACATATAAAACGCTACCAAAAATAAAAAAAACTATCTTTGATTTATATTAGTATTTTGTTGTCGATCGATTCGTATTTGATTTTCTCACCCATATCCATTGCATATTATAGGTATGTATGTTTATTTAGCCGAAATCATTTAATTCTAAATTAAATTTCACTTGCCAGATTTAACGAAATAAACATAAGAAAATAATTTTTGTTAAAGGGGGCCTTTCTGCTTTGCCGCCCCGGGCCTCTGATGGGTTTAGTCCGCCACTGTAATTGGTACTAAGTACTTATCTTCATTTTCGTTTCCTCATGGCTGAGGGTCGTGACCTTTGAGGACAGCACATTTCACGAACGATCTCCAGACCGTTCTGTGTTCTGCAAGGCGGATGGACGCCTGCAAGTTGCCATTCGTAGTTTCTTTAATTATGTCCAACCACCGGGATGGAGACCTGCCCCTACTCCTCTTGCCTTCCACGTTTCCCACGACCAGAAGTTTTTCAAAATTATCTGGGCTTCTCCTTGCTACGTGACCAAGTATTTTAGGAGGCGCTGCATGTAGACAGAAGAGAGACGCGTTTTGATACCCAGCTCCTTCAAGATAGATGCATTAGTTCTTCGTGCGGTCCAAGGTATGTGTAGCATTCTGCGCCAACACCACATTTCAAATGCATCAATCCTGGAACGGACGCGTGCTTTCAACGTCCAGGTTTCGGAAGCGTACAAGAAAATCGAGAAGACCAGGGCACGCATCAGCCGCACTTTAGTGGATTTAGTAATTCCTCTGTTCTTCCAGATCCTCTCCAATCGCTTCACGGCAGCCTTTGCCAACTGTCCGCGTCTGACCACCTCCGCCTCGCAGTCCCCGTCATTGCGTATAAGTGATCCCAGGTATACAAAACTGGTAACTGTGTCTAAATCACTCAGCTCAAATGTTCTTACCAACTTGTCAGCTCTATCGACAAACATAAGCTTGGTTTTGTCACGGTTTATACAAAGGCCATATTTCACGCTGACGTCTTGAACCTTGCGCAGTAGGAAAGCCAGTTCTTGTTCATCGGCTCCTATTATGGTCGTGTCATCGGCGAAACGTAAGTTATTGATAAGTTGACCCCCTATTCGAATACCACCCTTCCAGTCCTCGAGTACTCTGCGCATTATGTGCTCCCAACTAGGTTGAACAACTGGGGTGATAGTATGCATCCCTGACGTACACCACGAGCTGGCTTAAACGAGTCGGAGACATAACCACCCATTCTCACCCTGCTCTTGCCGGTAAGGTATAAATTCTGCACCAAGAAGACCAGATGCCTAGGCACACCCATCTCCACCGTCACCGCAAACATTTTGGCCCAATTTACACGTTACAAGTACTTATAGGTAGAGAAATAGCTTGAACCTGGTATACAAAGCCTATCTTGCGTTGTTAAAACAAAAGTTTAGGATGTGAAAGAGCAAAGAAAATAACTATATGATAATTTTTCAAGTTAATCATAATTCTGGTCATCTACTGGAAAAACAGGATTTAATGATTTGTCAATATATTCTTATCAAATTATTGCTTTATAGGAGGCACGTTAGGTATAATTATACTACAAAAGATGAAATTGCATGAACTAGAAAATATAGGGATATAAATAAATGTGTTTTCGAAATGTTATCGTATACGTTCAAGAATAGACTCTGGAATCGAAATCGCACGGAGTAATCAAAGCGTGATTGCTCTCCGATGAAATTTCGACTGAAACGTATTGCGTTCAACCACCTGAAAACTAGACATGTGTAGGTGTATATTATTATATGTATACACCTCATATATCGTAAAAAAATACTTAAAATGATTGTTGATTTGCTATTTGTTATTAGATAGAAAATTATCGTAAGTAAAAACGATTTCGGCTTGCGATTTTAGTATTCAGCAGTTTTATAATTGGATTTCGTTTTTAGGGTTCCGTAATTCAAAAGAAAAATACGGAACCCTTATAAGATCACTTGTCTGTCTGTCTATCAATACCCTGTATCTCGAAAAAGCGTGGAGGTATCGATTTGAAATTCAAACCATACTTATGCTCAAGTCTATGTTCCCTTGAAGCTGTGAAAAAATCAAACTTCTAAGTTAATGTAAAAAAAATACGGCCGCGTCTCTGTCTGTCTGTCAAGACCCTTTATCTCAGGAGCGCGTTTAGGTATCGTGTTGAAATTTAAACGGTCTCTTGAAGCTGAAAAAATCAACCTTCAAACTTAACGTAAATAAAAAGATACGACCCTTTATGCCCGTCGTGTTCCAACAAATTTGTAAGAAATTCTCGGAAGGGGAGTCAGACTCGCACTTGTTAATTTTTTTATTATGTCCATCATATTTCCATATAAGCAAGCTCTGTGAGCTGTGGGTTCCGTATATTCTATTTCAAATGGACGTTCGGACCATAAATAACCAAAACTTGCCTTACTAGTAAGTAGAGTAGGCAATGTCTATTATTTATGTATGGTGTGCATTGCTTGCCTCTGATGAAAAACCAGATTTAAAATAAACATAAACATATGTTTTACTTAATCCAATTGTAAGGATCTTACAGACCTTGCTTAAATTCTTTCGAATTATAATTTAATACATACAAACGAATGTTACAAAAGTTTCTTAGTAGTTTAATACGCTCACCGGAAGATTTATACTTTCCTGGAATTTTGCGAAGTAAGAATATTACGCTCTATGGTGATATATGCCGCACCTGGTAGCATGACCTGGCTGGAGGTAATGACGTTATTGGGTAACAGGCTTGCTGCGGTGATTGTAAACTAGATTTAGGCGAGGACTAAATTGACGAATATCAAACGCTGCTCTTAAACGTAAAAATGTTTATCTTGGTATTACAAAGTTTTAAAGACAAAAAAAGTGGTTGTTAAGCTCTAAGTGGTAATAATATAGTTGTAACAAACCTTTGATACAAAGTCCAAGTTTAAATGTCTTTATTTAAATTGGATGCATAAAACAAGTATTTTAATCGCCCAAATGGATTTTTCCTATCACATGTTTTGTTTGGAGAAACTGTACCCTTAGCACGAACCAATATCGAATTCGTAACGTTTGCGAGTCTGAAATAATTATCATTGTCAAAATGTGTACTGATTTTAGATCTCGTTGTTACCGTTACGTACTTTGTGGCGCTGCTGTTCAAGTTTCCATACAATATTGAAATTGACATTTAGCACAACAACATTTAGCATAACAGATATCCAATTACAAAAATTCAAGTACATTGTTTCCTTCATACACATATTGTGCTTTCACAACATACTTAAAAAAAGCAAAGTCAATTCCTACTGAACAATGCCATTTTCCAAAAGGAAGAAGAATGGTTCGTGCTAGGGATACTGAATTAAAGTAAGACATCGATTAATCATTCGATCTGTTGCTGTCATTTAATCATTAATAGATGTTGAATAAATATTTCGGGTTCTTAATGATAATGGGAGCCCTATTCATTTGCTTCTGTTTAAACGGCAATAGGTAGAGATAACACCTGAAATTTCCGGGATTCTTGTTACCTACTGTGAAATGATGAGGATAAAATAAAAGGTTTCCTTAATCCTATTATCATTCATTTATTTAATTATTAGATGGGCACTATTCGTATTTTTATTCCTCATCGTTCGTGTACGGTATGGTAAGGCTGGATACACTCGCTCTTAGGAGAAATGTCATTCTCGTCATCCACTATCTCTGCTCTACGGCAAAGTGGATGGCCGTGGCGTGCTGGAGCGGGTGTGTTTGACGGTGCCCTCGCGCGTCCCACAAGACGTCGGCGGGCTGGTGGCTCCGCATTTTGAATTGTTATTCATTTGGTTAATATAAAAAAGAATATAATTTGCCCCCGAAGTAGTTTACAAGACTAATCAGATTTTTTCGTTAGTGGCGAAAGGTGAAATCTACCATATTTTAAGGGATATTTTTAAATGCACAGCAAATAATTTATTATCCATCAAGTTATTTACAGCAATTAAATACTTTTTACATCTAAATAATTATTTTACGGCAAACAAAACATTTGTTTAACAAAACTGGTGCTGAAAATAATTCAAAAATATACGTGTAATCTGTAATAACAAAAAAACTTGTTTAATTGTACAGAAATATGATTTACATATCAAATATACTGATTGCACAGCAAATATACCGATTGCACAGAAAATTAACCAGGGCTTCGACGCAAAATACTCACACTCATAACAAAACAACTATTTTTTCAACAGGTTTCCAATTAAGCATTTCA